GTGTCAATCACCACTTCTGCCACTTCTCACTTCACCTGTGACGTTCTCTAGACCCTCCTCTGGTCCTGGTCTGTTATTACTGTATGTTGAGTTGAGTAGATCTACAACAGCTCATGAATGCGAGGTTCACTCACATCAAGGCGGTGTTGAGCACTCATGCAATTATAAAGGGCTTGGAGGCAGCTTCAGTTCAGCAGCTCTGCTCCTAAACACACCATTAAGATTTGAACCACTCATATCTCATTCATAGCCTTTCTTCTTACAACTTACTTCATTTTGCCTGCCCGCATTGTCTTCAAACACCCACACATCTGCGCTCATCAACAAATTTCCAGCTTGTTTCGATAGCAATTTCACCGCCTTGAAACCCTGACCTAGTCAACATGAATTTTAATGATCTGAACCGTGCTGTGTCGGAGAGGTGAGGTGCAGCGACGGTGGAGCGATGATGGAGAGTGCAGAAACAAGGCCTTGAGCTGTCAGATTAGTGGGTTTTTTGAGGCAAGATGGAGAACATGACAGGAGAAAAGATCATGAAAAGTTTATGTCCTGCAAGTCTGTGACATTACATAATCGCCAGAGGCACCCAGAACTGGCTCATGCATGATTTACGCTGTGGCCTATATGACAGAATCTTGTATATAAAATGTTATCTGCAGTAGTTTAAGAAATCTCGGCTCTGTTTACATATTCTCATGTAAAAAAGGATGATTGAGTGAAAACTGTCCCAGCGGATCCACTGTCATTCTGTCAAACCACATTTCTCCCCCTAACGGCCTCGTCAGGTTTGATTGACAGACGATTATGAGGTGTATTTTTACAAGTAGCAGGATTTAGTATTAAATTTGGACTGATGTTAAAATAACATGCTCTGCGCTCTCCAAGGACGGCCACACAAAATCAATTGATTTAATCCACAGAACATGTTGACTTACTCCTCCACCTCAGAGGTGATAGTCGTAGCGCAGGTTGGTGCTCTACATTTGACTGACAGCCAATTAAGTTGAGTTTTTTTACCTGCTTTAAGAATTAGACTTAGTTACCGTAGCGCTGTCGATGTTATTACTTACTTAACCCACTTCGCCCCCCGTTGTGTGAGTACACTGTGTATAAGTGTGTGTGAATGGGTGAGTGGTTCCTTGATGTAAAGCGCTTTGAGTGCACCTGAAGGTGGAAAAGTGCTATAGAAAAACAGCAGATCACTAATGGCTGAAAACTTGCGGGTGTTTTTCCACAACTATATGCATAAAGTACTGCATATAGGCGAGTTTCATTGTTGACAAAAGCACGCGTTGCATGCTGGGAATTATTTTGGTCGGTGGCAATAAACACTAATTCAACATGACGGACGGAGCGAGAAAGCAAGTACAGGGTATTGATCCTGGTTATTTATCCACTCTAACGACAGAGACGATTTGACCAGAAATTGGTCATAAACATCGATGGAGCCAAATCACCCTTTTCAACTCCTACAAAAGGTGGACCAAACCAAATTTCTGGTCAGAATCGCCAACTACCTGGACAAATATTCACTTCGGCGATATCCACAATGACTTGGTGGAAACTGCTGGGCCATTCACAACAGAAAAGATGAAAACCTCCAAGAGTCTCGATGTGTTGTTGAACTTGTTGGGGTCCACGGTTTGTTAGGATCTTCTACTTTTGCTCTGTGAATGTTTGAAATCCGATACGAAAAAGACATTTTCCTTCTTCCGTGCTTCTATTTGTGCATCCGATAATGCAGCAGGAATTTACCATTATCGAGGATAAATACGCGAGGTTACGCACTGTGTTTGACGCTATCGTGTTTCTTGCCTCCAACCAAAATATTTCCCAGCATGCAACGCGGGCTTTTAATAACAATGACGTCAGCTTGAAACTCGTCTATAGTTTTGTTCGAATCGCTTCTCATTCTATGCCACAAACATCGTCTGCTCATTTATTCACCAAATTTAACATTCTTAATATTTATGGGATTAATATTTATCAAATTTGTATTTTTATGTATAAAATTCTTTACAATTCAACAACGATCCCCGAACATTTCACATTTTATTTTAAAACCAATGCAGAGATTCATAGATACAAAACTCGTCAAATTCATAATTTTCAGGTTCCAAAATTTGTCACATCAAGAGCTCAGTTTTGCCGACGATACAGAGACTGTAAATTCAGGAGCAGTTTTCACATCTGGTTAGTGACAGATCAGAGGCGTTGATTAAAAAGAGTTTGAGGAAATGTTTGATATTTCGTGCTAATATTTGATAATCTTTCAATTGTAGATGTTTCATTGTGTTTTAATCTATGTTTGAATCAAAATAATTTAATCCATGGTGTTTAAATGTCATTTTTCTATATACATATATACAGTGTTTGGGAGTAACAGATTACATGTACCAGAGTTACGTAATCAGAGTACAAATTATGAGTAACTGTATTCGGTTACAGTTACTGTTTCAGTGAGTGGTAATTGGATTACAGTTACTTTGTTGAAATAAATGGATTACAGGGTAGTAATTTTCAGTTTTCACATTTTGGGCTAAAACCAGGACTAAACTAGAACTAAACCAGGACTAAACCTAAACTAGGAACTAAACAGACTAAACCAGAATTAAAATAAACCAGACTAAACTAGGACTAAAACCAGGACTAGAACTAACTAACTAAACCAGAACTAAACTAGGACTAAACCAGAACTAAACTAAACTAGACTAAAACTAAACTAGGAACTAAACTAAAACTACTAGACTACTAACCGACTAAACTAGGACTAAACCAGGACTTAAACTAGGACTAAAACCAGAACTACTAACTAGGACTAAACTAGGACTTAACCTGGACTAAACTAGGACTAAACTACTAAACCTAAACTAAACTAAAGGACTAAACTACTAAACTAGACTAAACTAGGAACTAGAACTAAACTAGGACTAAAAACCTAGGACTAAACAGACTAAACTAGGAACTAGACCAGGACTAAACTAGAACTAAACTAGGACTAAACTAGAACTAAACTAGGACTAAACCAGGACTAAATCCAAAACTAAACTAAAAAACATGACAATATCAAGTAATCCAAAGTATTCAGATTACGTTACTCACTTTAAGTCATTTAATGGATTACGTTACAAACTACATTTCGATGTGTGTAATCTGTAATCTGTAGGGGAATACATTTTAAAAGTCACCCTCCCAACACTGATTATATATATTTTTTTATGCACAATGATAATGTTAAATTTTTAATGTATTCATAAGGTGGAGGCTTTAATATTTCGCCCTATTGGGTTTTTTTGCCTCTTCCTGCACCTACTTTTTATCTAGTTTGTTCCTTTTTATTGTCATGTTTATGTGCAAAATAAATAGATAAATAAAAAGTAAGTTACATTTTGACTAAGTCTCTAAAAGCTGAATAGGCTTTGCAAGCGCGATCACCAAATCGACTTAAAAAGGAGAGTCCACTCGGGCTTTTCATACACCGTATACAGGAGACCTACTTCACTGCTTCCGTTTTTCATGCAAACTTGGCCAGATAATGGTTTTAGGATCAGCCTTGTGACTCTGTTTGATGTCTAAGCATCATGGGTAATGGAAAACCAGGACTAAACTAGAACTAAACCAGGACTAAAACCAGGACTAAACTAGAACTATACTAGGACTAAAACCAAAACTAAACTAGGACTACACCAGAACTAAACTAGGACTAAACCAGGACTAAAACCAGAACTAAACTAGGACTAAACTAGGACTAAACCAGAACTAAACTAGGACTAAACCTGGACTAAAACAAAAACTAAACTAGGACTAAATTAGAACTAAACCAGAATTAAAATAGGACTAAACCAGGACTAAAACCAGAACTAAACTAGGACTAAACCAGGACTAAAACCAGAACTAAACTAGGACTAAACTAGGACTAAACCAGAACTAAACTAGGACTAAACTAGAACTAAACCTGGACTAAAACAAAAACTAAACTAGGACTAAACTAGAACTAAACTAGGACTAAAACCAGGACTAAAACCAGAACTAAACTAGGACTAAACCAGGACTAAATCCAGAACTAAAGGACTAAACTAGAACTAAACTAGGACTAAACCAGGACTAAATCCAAAACTAAACTAAAAAACATGACAATATCAAGTAATCCAAAGTATTCAGATTACGTTACTCACTTTAAGTAATTTAATGGATTACGTTACAAACTACATTTCGGTGTGTGTAATCTGTAATCTGTAGGGGAATACATTTTAAAAGTCACCTTCCCAACACTGATTATATATATTTTTTTATGCACAATGATAATGTTAAATTTTTAATGTATTCATAAGGTGGAGGCTTTAATATTGGTTTTTTTGCCTCTTCCTGCACCTACTTTTTATCTAGTTTGTTCCTTTTTATTGTCATGTTTATGTGCAAAATAAATAGATAAATAAAAAGTAAGTTACATTTTGACTAAGTCTCTAAAAGCTGAATAGGCTTTGCAAGCGCGATCACCAAATCGACTTAAAAAGGAGAGTCCACTCGGGCTTTTCATACACCGTATACAGGAGACCTACTTCACTGCTTCCGTTTTTCATGCAAACTTGGCCAGATAATGGTTTTAGGATCAGCCTTGTGACTCTGTTTGATGTCTAAGCATCATGGGTAATGGAAAACTTCAAAGAGATTGCTGGCTACTTTGATTCAGTGGCATCTCAATTTCCGTCATTGCGTTAATGCTTGCTGCGCGCTGTACATTTTTTTCCTAGCACAAAGATTCCTGCATTTAAAGGCCGTACCCGAGAAGAAGCAGCAGCAGCAGAAGAAGAAGAAGAAGCAGAACGCAAAAAACGGTGCTCGTAACTGCCGGATTTACAGCGCATCATCAAAACACATACAAGCCCAAGGCGCCGACATCAAGCGGGAAGCTCGGCGGCACCATATATAAACGCATACGTACTTAGAGCGCATTTTCAAACATAAATTCACGATCCTTTTCCTTGTTGTCTCTTTTGCAGCTCCTGGGCATGGCTTTCTCCATGACGCTGTTCCACCACATCCACAGAACGGGGAAGAAGTACGACGCTTAGCCCGAGAGGAGGCCGCCAATCATGGGATAAGACTCTGACGACTTACCCCCCCCCCCCGTCTCTCTCTGGAGCCTCCTATTTGGTTTCCCTTCACTTTCTAGCCTCCCGTAGAGCCTCCCAATCGCTCCTCTAGACTACTTTTTGTACAGAATCCAGCTGTATCCGCGTCTATCACCAATTCATTTTTTTTGCCAAAGAGTATGTGATAACTGAAAGTGAAAGGACAGCGATTTTGGCGAGGAAGAGAATCCCATTGGTTGCCACTCCTCTTAAGTGCTTTTTTTTCTTCTTTTGTTTTTTTTTTTTTGCTTGGACTAACAATTTGCTGGAAGGAAAGACATTACAATGAAGACTTTTACTAATGCTCACACCCCTCCAATCCGAGGGACAGAGAATATTTAAGAACTGCTATATCCTCCACCTTATACGGAGCATTCTCATAATAAATCCCATTGTAAATGTTCCAACATGGCATGCTAGTTTTCTACTCGTTTAACTTTCCTTTCCTTTTATTTCGAAGGTATGCCATGCCGTGTGTGCGCGTGTAAGCGTGTTTGTAAGTGTGTGTGCGCGCGATTGAGGTTTTGAAGCATTCGATTGCGTCATACGTTGGGAGGATGTTTAATGTATGCCAACTTTCATCTTATTTTCTATTTTGTTTTTCGCGTCAAGTTGCAAAAATTGGCAGGATTTCAGATGAGCGTTTTTGTGTCAGTGGATTTAACCTTTGCGTTAATATCGAAATAAGAAATTGTGACGCAAAGTCCAGCGGGAGGCATGTGTACGACACCGCGGCACAGTGAGCAGTGTTGGGGAGTAACAGATTACATGTACCACAGTTACGTAATCAGAGTACAAATTATGAGTAACTGTATTCGGTTACAGTTACTGTTTCAGTGAGTGGGAATTGGATTACAGTTACTTTGTTGAAATAAATGGATTACACGGCAGGATTTCATATTTTGGGCTATATCCTTTTTTTTCTCTAGGTCTAAACCAGGTCTAAACCAGGACTAAAACCAGGTCCAAACCAGGTCTAAACCTGGTCTAAACCAGGTCTAAAACCAGGTCTAAACCCAGGTCTAAACCAGGACTAAACCAGGATTAAAACCAGGTCTAAACCAGGACTAAAACCAGGTCCAAACCAGGACTAAACCAGCATTAAAACCAGGTCTAAACCAGGTCCAAACCAGGTCCAAACCAGGTCTAAACCAGATCTAAACCAGGACTAAGCAAAGACTAAACCAGGACTAAACCATGTCTCAAACAAGATTTAAAAGGACTTAACCATGCTGCGCTGACTGTGTCAAGTCTGGGCTTTTTATTTTCTTTTATCAGACAAAACATCTTATGTTACGATTTCCTCGTCTTTGCTTCTCTACGGCAAATCAAGTAATCCAAAGTATTCAGATTACGTTACTCACTTTAAGTAATTTAATGGATTACGTTACAAACTACATTTTGGGATGTGTAATCTGAAATACATTTTAAAAATAACCTTCCCAACACTGACAGTGAGGTAATACAAACGGTCGAAAATGGCTGTCAAATGAGAAGATCGGGGTGATTAAACTCCCCACTTCGAGCGTCCAGACTGTATTGTGCGTCCCCGTAGCCTGTATCTCCTGGGATTTTCTTTTCTTTTTTTTTCCGTTTTTTTATTACTGTCCGGGCTGTGGACTATAAAACACACACACACTTTCGAGCAAGGGCACGAGGGGCAGGAGGCTAGACGACATGCTGGCCGGCCACTGTCATCAATTGTGTTTGCAGAGACAGCTCAAGCTTTTCTGTTCAACGCTGCCGAGGTCTTAGCCATTTATTCTTTGGTCAATGCTAGGTCAGAACGCCGTATGTGATTGGTAGCTGGGGTCATCTCTGGACCGGGCTGAACTTTTGCCTGAACTTGTTGTGACAGTACTTAAAGGGCTCGTATTACGCTGTTTTCTGATCTATGTTATAATGCTGTTTCCTCATCACAAACACACCTGGAGTTTGTTGGAGTTTGAAGGCGCTTCAAAGCTCATCTCAAAAACTCAAAATGCTCTGTTCCATAGCTGTTTTTAGGCTGGCCAGATCGGTGCTGGTTCCTGCACCAGTTCCACTTGAAACCAAAGCGCTCACCCGTGAATGATCCGCGTTCAAACCGTTTAAATGAACCCACGATGCACGATCGACAGAGGGTGTGGATTTGCCACCAAATTAATAACAAGGTCATACGAAAGCAGACGTCACGGAAAAGAAAATAACAATCATATATCACACCATTGACGCCAACAAGCATTTGTACTCATACAAATAATTATTTATCTGCGCCGAGTCTTTACACCGTCTACTGTGGAGAAGGCGGCAGTGACGCCAAATCCAAAGATGGAACCTTACCGAGCGAACACGGATAGAGCAAATATTTGGTCTCCACTGCTGACCATCCATCCATTTTCTTCTGCTTATCCGGGGTCGGGTCGCGGGGGCAACAGTCTGAGCAGGGCCTCCCAGACTTCCCTCTCCACACAGACGTCCTCTAGCTCTTCCAGGGCGATCCCAAGACGTTCCCAGGCCAGCCGAGAGACATAGTTCCTCCAGTGTGTCCTGGGTCTTCCTCGGGGCCTCCTCCCGGGGGGACATGCCCAGAACACCTCCCGAGGGAGGCGTCCAGGAGGCATCCGAAACAGATGCCCGAGCCACCTCAGCTGGCTCCTCTCGACAGCGGCTCTACTCCGAGCTCCTCCCGTGTGACTGAGCTCCTCACCCTATCTCTAAGGGAGCGCCCCACCAGCCACCCTGCGGAGCAAACTCATTTCGACTACTTATATCCACCGCTGACCACTGCACAATTTTCTTGTCACTTGATTTTTTCACCATATTCCACACACAGGCTTTCTTAGTTTGTTTATTTTACTGTGTGTGACGCGGATGAACCTATTAACGTCTACTATGTCATCATGGTTCACTTAGAAAAAACAAGGTTTACTTGGTTTCCACCAGGAACAAACTTTTCGGTTCCCAAACGCTCTGATTTTTGGAGTGAACACGTCACTAGGTTCGAGTTTAGATGGTGGAACCAGCAGCGGCACGGTTCTCTGTCGGCCTGAAAACGCTACTTGTGATGTCATGTGGTAATACAGGAAGTGCTCCAGTGCTCCCTCAGCCCTGGCATTTCCAATCACGGCTAAACTAAAGTTAAAAGGAGCCGTTAACTTGGAAAATAATGTTTCATGACATCACAAAGTGGAACAGATCATTTTGAGCTTTGGAAATGTAGACGGACTAACGTGTGAATGAAACAAAACACAACCCCAGGTCTGTTTTTGTTGAAGTAACAGCCTTACAACTTGTCCTAAAACTCACAATAATCCATTTTGTGTAAGAAAGAACCTTTAATAAGTAACTCCCAAAGTTTGTTATAAGTACAAATATTCTTAAAATTTAGACACTCCAGCAGTAAACAAATGAAAATAATCAAAACTGTACAAACAAAAAGAAAAATCTGCTAAATGACGCGTTCACGTTTGCAATAAAAATAACAGTTTGTGACAAGTGCAAAAAAGAAAAAAATCTGGAGTTATTTCAATTATCAAATGTGTTAAAAGCAAAGTTGGTTTATTTCCTACTGAAAAATAATTACAGCACTTAAATAATCCGTCCAAATGGATTGCCGAGAGTGATTTTCCCGGTCCTATATTTACGCGGGGCCCATTAGTTTCTTGCGGCTCGTTCGGTTTCGCCATCACGTTCTGTTTCTCGTCTCTTTAAAGCTTTGTCTTCCTCTATATATAAAACTCCAAACTGCCCCAAATGACTGAAATGGGCGAGTTTCAATGCACAGCACAGAGAAGCTCCATCACCACTGACATCACGCTCCAACACCTCCGACTGACACGGAGCAAGAACAACCTCCACTGACGGAGGGACGGAGGGAAGGAGGGAGGGAGGGACTGAGGGAGGGAGGAGAGAAGGAGGCAGAGGGGGACGGTGGGAAGGGAGGAAGGGGGGAGGGAGGGAGAAGGGATGGAGGAGAGGGAGGGAAGGAGGGAGGGAAGTTAGAGAGGGGAGAGGGAGGAGGAAGAGACGGAGGGGGAGGGAGAGAGGGAGAGGAGAGGGGGGAGGGAGGGAGGAGGAGGGAGGGAGGGAGGGAGGGAGGAAGGAAAAATAGAAGAGGGAGGGAAACACAGACCGGGGTAGGAGAGGGAGAGGGAGGAGGGAGGGAGGGAGAAATAAAAGAGGGAGGGAGGGAAATACAGACCAGGGAAGGAGAGGGAGGGAGGAAGGAAGGGAGGGAGGGGAAGGGAGGAAAAATAGAAGAGGGAGGGAGGGAAACACAGACCGGGGAAGGAGAGGGAGGGAGAGAGGGAGGAGGGAGGGAGGAAAAATAGAAAGAGGGAGGGAAACACAGACCGGGGAAGGGAGGAGAGGGGAAATATAAAGGAGGAGGGAAATACAGACCGAGAAGGAGAGGAGGGAGGAAGGAGGGAGGGAGGGGAGGGAGGAGGGAAAAATAGAAAGAGGGAGGGAGAGAAACACAGACCGGGTAGAAGAGGGAGGGAGGGAGGGAGGAGGGAGGGAGAGAGGGAGAAATGGAGAGGGAGGGAAACACAGACCGGGGAAGGAGAGGGAGGGAGGGAGGGAGGGAGGGATGGAGGGAGGGAGGGAGAAATGAGAGGGAGGGAGGGAAAAGGGAGGGACCAGGGAAGGAGAGGGAGGGAGGGAGGGAGGGAAACACAGACCGGGGTAGAAGGGGGAGGGAGGGATGCAGGGCCAGAGGGAGGGAGGGAGGAGAGCGGGAAGACGGGAAACTCGGGGAGGAAGAGAGGGATAGCGGGATAGAAATGGGGAGATTGGGGCGAATAGTGGAGGGAGGGAGGCGTGAGAGGAAGACATAGCGATAGAAGAGAGGAAAACGGGAGCGAGAGACGCCGCAGACGGAGGAAGTGATGGAGGGGGCCGCGCAGGCACATCAAAGCCGAGGCGGTTAGGTACGGCAGCGCCCCGTACGACCGCTGTGTTTACGGCTCGTCCCCGCAGGGCGCTAAAGCCGTCCGCACCTCATTCTCCACGCTTTATATCCACATACTCGTGTTGTGGGCTACTTTGCTTTCTTTATCCGAGCCGTTTAAGTACTGTTTACACGAGCGAGAGGTGTAGCTCAAAGAGGAAAACCGTGATTGCAGATTTACATTTGACTGGTTTGTTTGTTTGTTGTTCTCGTTGCAGCTCAATTCGAGTTCATTCACGGCACATTTCTCTGATCTGGCCAAGATTTTAAAACTTATATCAGGTTATTCGTGTTGTTTTCAGATTTATTAACCACTACTCGTTCAAAAAATTGGTGGTTTATTTTAAGATAAATGATCAAGTGGAATTATTTTGGTGCATGGACAGATAATTTCACTACTTTTAAGTCGTTTTCTGATAGATTTAAGTGTTTATATCTTACATTTTGGCCAAGCTTTTTTGTCGATTTCTTACATTTTTATACAAGATGATTATGTCATTTTGAATTTTACGGTTGCAATGTTAAAAAGTAAGATTGTACAATATTTTTTAACAGTTTTTGCAACCCTTTATGTTGCTCCCATAGACTGTATTTATAAATGGACAAGGTTAACCTACTTGCTGTCTCATTCTACATAGGAAGTAAGCATGGGCGCGCTTCCGGCTCCATCGATTCAAGCTCCAGTTCACTTTGTATTGAAAAAATGTCACACTCACTGCAAAAAACAATATTTAAGTAAGTTAAAAATAACTTAAATTGAGAATATTTAACTTTATTTGAGTCGATTCAACTTGACAAGTAAAATGATCTACCAAAGGAGTTAGGTTTTTTTTTCTTAATTCAAGCAACATTTGATTCTGTTTCATATTTTAAAAGTTGCAAAGAGTTGTTGTTTTTCTTTTCTTAAGTGCAGCAAGTTGTATTTTCATATTTTAAGTACAAAAACTCTTGTTCCATTGGCAGATAATTTTACTTGTCAAGTGAAATTTACTCAAATCATCTCAAACTCAAACTTTTTTAATTCAAGTCATCTTAACTTGGCTAGATTTTAGTTTTTGCGGTGCTTTTT